GGGGTGTGACAAAGTAGGAATTGTTCCGCTCTCCAAATAGGGTCCAAGGCCTGTGTCTACATCTTAGTAGTCATATCAAAGAAATATTCCTAATTACCTTTATGGGAAATCCTGAAATCGGTCGCCTTAAGCACTCATAGTCATATTAAAGAAGTTCCTCGTTTTTGAGAATGGTGGAAAGCAATTTTTTCTTTTGTTAGTCTTACGGTTGTTTAAATGGTGCTTTGGCAATAGGCCAGGTTGCAAAAGATATGGTCTCCACTGAATGCGGTGGGCCAGTCTGGTACATGTAGCACTCTTAAATGTTTGTAACGGAAAACAGAGCTATTTATAGAACAATGTGCACCCAAATGGGATGTAAATTTATTCGCCATTTAAAACTTTAGATGCGCTGAAAAACATTGGGGTGCTCTAGTCTTGCCTCCCTTGTTTTTTCATACAGAAACTATGGCCAGCTTCACAGTTATCATCCTTGTAAAACAGAAAGCTTTTGGGTAGTTCCATAACTACTGAGTTAAAAATTCAAGAATTTTCAAAGATGCAAAATTTAGAGTTATGCAGAGATCTCGAACTTTGCTAATGCACTTCTTCAAATTTTTTTGCAGAGTAGTCCTTCAACTCCTACTTTCTGGGAGTGGCATATTTCAAGCTCCATAATTCTTTCATATTGCGGTCTTTCTGATGTTTGGACAGCTAAGTAGTATTGCTTGTGGCCTATATGATATTTCCTCTAATCCTGGTGATGATCATCGATGAGCTTCTGTTCCAATGAAACCTTGCGAAGTCCTTTTTTCAATCATACTCATTTCTATTTTGACAAAAACAGGCCATTCGATGTCTCCTGATGGTATGAAATTTGTGGATGCACATTATCTGTTATTATTCTGTTATGTTTGGAGGTGATATCATTATGAATTCACCAATGTTTTGGTTAGCAGGTGAAGTGCTACTAAGTATTAAGTCAGCCATCACTGATACAGAAGGTGTACTTGCACAATGGAAAAGTGAGGATCCAGATCCATGTGGCTGGAAAGGAGTGAAATGTGACCCCAAATCCAAGAGTGTGGTGCATCTGTAAGTTTTATTAGGAACCATCCTGTTATGCTCTTTGTGTTCAAGGTGCAAATTGCTTTGTGGAATAAGAAAGCTCTGGGGCAATTAAGATTCTCGAGTCATTACTGAAAATATGTACACCCTTAGAGTTTGTACTTAGGAGACCTGCTGCATTTTGGATTTATTCTGCATCTTCTTGTCAGATTGCTTATGATTCTCCTTTCAATTTTTATGTGTGATAACTATTCTAAAACTTGGCCAACATGTCCTGCCTTACAGGGGCCTTGCATATCACAGATTACGTGGATATCTATCACCTGATATCGGGAAGCTTCGGCACCTAAAGATTCTGTATGTATTTATTATAAAATTTCATTGGGCTGAAGAGAACACTTGCTTCATGTCTTTGCTCAATTTTCTTCTCAAGGAACTAGAGCACATTGCTTTTGAAATTCAGTTGTTTGTCGGTGTTTTAATATTATCTATACTATTTATGTAATATAGAAATTTATTCATTCAGTCTGACCTAAAATATTGGGTCATAAACAGGTCATGGAATACATCATAATGCGTATATTGTTGCCCTGTTACAGAGCTCTTCATGATAACAATTTTTATGGAACGATTCCATCAGAATTGGGGAATTGCACAGCATTAAGAGCTTTGTAAGTGATCAATCAGCTTAGTTTTACAATTACAGGTGTTCTATCATTTCTTTATATGTTTCTCTAGCATTAGCATGTCATTTCTGCTTAAGATAGGGCTACAGTCATAGTTTGATATTTGCTTGGTGCATCTTCTTCGCAACATGTTTATCCTACCTAGCTGGCTATATTTTGCTTTAATGGATGCAGTGATATTGACCTGCTGCAGAAGGCATGCTCTATTCATCTTGTTTGTTTATTGGTTCACCTTCTGAGAAGGGTTGGAAAGAGGTCTTCCTCTGACATAAGCATCGTTTGTCAATTAACCGAGGGTGCATGCAATTGTTCAACAATGTACTCTTGATTAAGAACTTATTTCACTGACATGGTACTTCCAAAATATTGGGCTTGACTTTTTACCTGTGATATTGGGAAGGATTATTTTTGCCTCTCTTGACCTTTTGATTAATCGCTGACTCACAAAAACTGTCTGCTTTTGTGCATGTTTAATAGCATAACTCTAGTCTTTCATAGAAAAATTGAACATACATTTCAGCAACACTTTATTTTGTCCTGTGGAGTTTTATTTTAGTTTTATTCCTAATAAAATACTTATGCTTCTCTAAGTTGGAAACTATTTTATGTGAGTTTCGCAGATATCTGCAGGACAACTTTTTAAGTGGATTTATACCCAAGGAGTTTGGGCAGCTTTTGGAGCTTGAGATTCTGTGAGTCATATTTGCTGTAAAACACTTATATGTTAGTGTCTGGTATTGATGTAAACATTAGTTTGGTTGTATTCAAGATCATACTGAATAGGGAGTAATTAGAATTTGAGAAGCTTAGATATTCATATTTTTATGTACTTGCTGATATCATCTTTGGAACTGGAAAATTCATTCCATGTATGAGTCACTTGGATTTATTATACATCCCATTAAAAATAAAATGAGTTCTGTTTAACACCATTTCCATCTCATGTAAACTATCTCCAAACATGTACTTGGTCAATTTAGATTACGAGGAAATATTTTTTACTTGATTAGTGCTGTCTGAGATAAAATAAATGTGTAGCTTGGAGTTGCTTTAGTTTGACATCTGAGAATGATAAGGCTGCACATAATCTAAGTCACTTTGCTGGTTGGGAGTTGGGACTAATTTGACTATCTACACTAAATATGCTTTATCAAGTAAACAATTGAATAGAAATTCTTTGCTGAAGATGATTTTACTAGAAGATCTGTTGTCCTGAAAGATCATCATAGTACTTTGGCTAGATCCAACACCAAGGTCTCACTCTCTCCTCTTACTGATTTTCCAGGGATATTTCCAGCAACACTCTCAGTGGGACCATTCCTGTGTCCCTTGAACAGTTGACCAATCTTTCGACATTGTGAGTTCGTAAAGTCCAGTTGATTTCTTGCTGTTCCTTAAACATGACTTTATGTAATCCTTTTTTTTGTTTGTTTTTGAAGCAATGTTTCAACCAATTTTTTGGTTGGAAAGATACCCTCTGGAGGTGCTCTCAGTAAATTTACCGAGCAATCGTACGTACACTTTCCTCTTTGACTAGATGAAATTTCCGTCACCATAATGATTTTTTGTGGGTTGTTCCTGTTTTTTTTTTTCTTGTTCTTATTTTTTATTTGTGTTCTTTTGTCAAGTGTTATTCATATGGAAGTTTGAATTGCTAGTTGAACTTTTTCAGTTATGTGATATAATGTTTCCATAGCTTAATTATTTTTAGTTATAAATAAATTTGTGAATTACAAAAAGAATTTCTTATTTACTTGGCCTAAAAAAGTTGCTTTTTTAGTTTGAAATATTATGGTCTTCTGTTCTCCTGTGTTATAGTGATCATAGTTTTTGGGATCAGGATTGGGATTGGGAGCAGGGGATTGTGAAAGGCTAGAGCTCTCTATGGTTGGGAGTGCTGTCGTTACAATGCATATGTTAGGGATCAAGATCGCCAAATGTTTGTGATCTCGATCCCCTTTAGGTGACATTGGTCCCAATCTTTCGGGGATTTTGCTCCAAACCTTAAAGAGTATATATAGATTACGATTGCGTATACTCTTTGAAGTAGGGATCTTTTTATTTATAGCCAGCAAGCAATGCAACTATATTAAAAGTGTAGTTCTATAAATAAAGGAAATTATCTGTTTGGTTGTTATCTTGGTCTTTAAGGTGGGGACAGAGATGTCTAACTTGAAACTTAAAATCAAGATCTCTTGAAGACCCTTTCTCGAAGGGCTAGAAAGAGATTCTACAGTGGGATCGACACCAAGGTTGGAGATCCCAGTAACTAGGGCAGTGACACAGCAATAAGCAGGATACCTATTGTCACACCCCAAGAATTTACAATACTGTTATTCCTGAGATGTGACAGACAAAACATATATACATCTATTGATAGAACAAATTTACAGTGGCGAGGTCTTACAAAGTAACAA